CAAAAGGATAGAAGGAGATGCCAGGGCCTGCGGACGCCTGCAGGACTACCTCGGATCTCCGAATGGACTGAAGGCAGCAACCCAAAGCTAAGGTCTGTATGCTCCAGTACCGGGATCTGCACACAGTGCAGAGTATAGTATCAACACAACCGACCCCATGTGCTGGTAAGTGCCTAGCCTAACCTCAGCGGAGTAGTGGCGAGGCTAGGACCAGACTACCAAATAAACCTGTGTAGTTAAATCATATATACAACGGAAAATAAAAGCAAAACTTTACAATTAATGATAGGATGGGGGGATCATACTGCGGGGAACAACAAATGCTAACAGAAGAACAACAGATAAATATAAGGGTCACCAAAGTTCAATTACCAACAAGAATCAGAAATAAAAGACAAGTGCAGGGCATCACCCTTCGTGCTTTTACTCTCGTCCTCACCATAAGAATCAATAAAATCTGCACGGCATCACCCTTCGTGCTTTTACTCTCGTCCTCACCATAAGAATCAATAAAATCTGCACGGCATCACCCTTCGTGCTTTTACTCTCGTCCTCACCATAAAATCGATATAATCGGCACGGAATTGTACATTATGCGGCACGACATCACCCTTCGTTCTTTTACCTCACAATACTGGCATGACATCACCCTTCGTGCATTAACACTCTCAAAATCATACACGACATCACCCTTTGTGCTTTACACTCTCTCACAAATATCATGCACGACATCACTCTTCGTGCTTTACACTCTTCCTCACCCAAGCAACAATCACAAACAATTTGGAAAAGGGAATCAATAATATTTAAAAAAAATCACGGCTAGGGAACATTAGCATAAAGACAATATCCCGGAAAGGGAAAACAATATCATGAATAATAACGTCTCGACAAGGGAGATAATATCATAATTCTTTTTTTTTTCACATTTACTTCACAACTCAATTCATAATTTGAGCCAATGCTCTATAATGTTCAATTGCCAATTATACTTCCACAATTCATTTTACAACTTGAGCCAAAGCTCTTCAATGTTCGAATACTTATATTCTTTCACAAGCTTTGATCAACAATAGAAATCATCACATAAGGCATGAACAATACAAACGGAGTAACATAAATCATAATATAAGACTCACGAACATGCTTGACACCAATGTATAGATACTCGTCACCATGCCTATACGTCGTACTCAATAACTAACACATAGCAAATAGGACATGACTGCTAATCCCTCAAGTTAAGGTTAGACCAAATACTTACCTCGATGCCACGAACACAATTCAAGCATCAACTACCGCTTTACCTCTTGATTCCACCACCAATTCGCTTGTATCAAGCCACAATTTACTTAACGATATCAATAAATGCGAAATGAATCAATTCTAATGCATGAAAATAGGTTTTATAAAGATTTCCCCAAAAAGTCAAAAATTGACCCTGGACCCGCTTGGTCCAAACCCGAAATTCGGACCAAAACCCCATTACCCATTCACCCCCGAGCCCAAATATGTAATTGGTTTTAGAATCCGACCTCAATTTGAGGTCTAAATCCCCAAATTTCAATATTCTTAGGTTTTACCCAAAATTCTCAATTCCACCATGAAAACCCTAGATTCTAGGATGAAATCTTGTTAAAAGAAGTTAAAGAGTGAAAGAAATAAGTTAAAAATCGCTTACTAGTATTTTTGGGGAAGAAATGATGTTTGAAAAATCGCGTCTTATGTTTTAGGGTTTTGAAAAGTGAAAAATAACTCAAAAGTACCGTTTAAATATACTCCTCTCAGACCCCTCAGACCGCATAAAAGGGACTGCGGTCGCGGAGCTCCACCGCGGACCGCAAGGAATCGTGCGCGGTCGCGAAGTCTTGGAGTTGATCATCGCGGACCGCATAAATCCCACCGCAGTCGCGAAGGTTCCACCGCGGACCGCGAGACCTGGCTTCAGAGACCTGTAACTTTCTCTGAAACTGCAACTTTTTCTAAGCGTAAAAACATCCTGAAACCTATCCTAAACTCACCCGAGCCCTCGGAGCTCCAAACCAAATATGCATACTAACTCAAAAACATCATATGAACTTACTCGTGCGATCAAATCGCCAAATTAACACCTTTAACAACGACTTTAGCATCAAAATCAAAGAAAGATCTCATGAACTCTTAAATTCAAATTTTAACAACCGAAGGTTCGATTCACGTCATTTCAAGTTCGTTTCCTACCAAATTTTACAGGCTCAACTTAAATCACATATAAGACTTGTACCGAGCTCCGGAACCAAAATACGGGCCCGATACCATCAAATTCAATTACATTCAAATTCCAAAAAACTCTAAAAATTTTAGTTAAACAATTTTCTTCAAAAATTCATTTATCGGGTTTGGGACCTCGGAATTCGATTTCGGGCATATGCCCAAGTCCCATATTTTCCTACGGACCCTCTAGGACCGTTAAATCACTAGTTCGAGTCCGTTTACCAAAAATGTTGACCAAAGTCAACCTAAATTTATTTTAAAAGTAAAATTTATTATTTTCCACAGGTTCTCACATAGTAACTTTTTGGACACATGCCCGGATTGCGCACATGAATCGAGGTGAGACAAAAAGGAGATTTTAAGGTCTCGAAACATAGAATTTATTTCCAAAACAAGTGATGATCTTTTGGGTCATCACAATTCTTCTCTAAGTCCAGTTCTTGATTTCTTTGCTATTCACTTTGTGGTTGTCATCTCTTTAAAGAAGTAAAAAATGTTAATGAAATCAATTTAACAAAAGAGTGTATTAATGAGGATAAAATAGTAAAACTATAAAAAAATATAATTTTTGCTAATAGGTTAAGAAAATTGTTAAAAATAAAAATAGGTTAAGCGTAATATTATAAATCATAAGGGAAGTTAGTGTTACGTGGCGAAACACGGGGGAAAGTCTATTAAGCAAATTAAGATAGTCACATTACTTTTTCAGCAAAAAATGGCATCTTCCCGATATTTGTATTAACTAGGTTTAAAAAGACGACTTCTGTGTTACGAAGAAAAAATAACTTTTATGTTGCAAAGCTTAACTTAGATGACCAACGGTGAAATTTACCTGTCATTTGAAATATCGCAATGAAGTTTCAAACTTTAATGTGAAAATCAAAATGATCATTTTTTGATCATCAAAGGATCTCATATAAATATACCTTATAAAATGACGAATAGTAATACAAATTATTAATTGTAAAATTATATACAACAACCATTGTAACAAACCCAATAGTTTCCCAAAAATGGTATTTGAGGAGAGTACGATGTGATGTACGCAGCCTTACTCCTACCCTGGAAGGGAATAGAGACTATTTTCCGATAGAGAATTGTAAAATTGTTTGTGAGTTAAAAGATATATCAACTCATTAACTTAGTTTTTTTCTAACAAATATTAAATTAAATCATATTTAAAAACCAAGTAAATACTCTTGTCACTAATTCGCTCATTCGAGACATGAAAGAGTATGTTAATCCATTCATATTATACCTACAACCAGGGGCGGATAACCCAAAGTATGGTATAGGTGAGCCCTATCCGCAACTTGTTTTGCTTCTCTAAAGCAGTGCTTCAAGCTACGATTTACTTGATCCTTCACCTTTCTAATTCTTCTACCTCTTTCATAATTCTCCAGGGGAATGTGATTAATCCCATTAACATCGTATTTCATTTTTCAGTTGCTCGTGACTTGTGACACTAATTCTTGAGGTATTTTATATTAAATTTTATGTTTTTTTATTCATTACTTATAAGACGATCTTCTGATCTCTTTGTCAAACTAGGTATCTCTTTTATGTATATATTTCATATGGTTGATTTGGTATTATCTGATGGCTCCATCCTCCAAAAAGGTTAAATAATGCACTTGGTTGAATGTTGAGTTGTTTAGCTAAGGGCCATGAATTAATTTTTATTTAATACTTTCTTTTTTCTCCTTTCGTTAGTGGTGCACCCATAGTCTATTTACTAGTGCACCCATAATTACATGTTCAGCCGAACCCAATAACTGTGAATTTCGAATCTATGAACTTTAAATCTTGCTCCGCTTCTGCCTACAACTTTGCTTAATAATATGGTGAGACAAAACTAAACAAGACACATATTTCATTCTCACCTAATTTAAATTTATTTCTCTTGGTATGACCCTTGCTTGACTTATTTAATTTCAGTAGAAAATGATGGCTGAATACATAGTGATTTTTGTCCACCCACAAGTGTTCTTTTTACCTTCAAATAAGGGACGATGAGAGCAGGAGTTTGCATGTGACAAATAGCCTGTTTGGCCAAGCTGCAAAAACCAACTTATTTTGAGAAGTGTTTTTTTCTAAAAATATTTTTCTCAAAAGTTCTTTTAGTGAGAAGCAGTTTGTGTTTGACTAATTAGTTTGAAAAGTACTTTTGAACAACAATTAGTGTTTTGGCCAAGTTTTAAAAAACTGTTTCTAAATGTATTTTTCTCAAAAGTGCTTATCAAAAAAGTGCTTTTGGAGAGAAGCTGCTTTTTTCTGTTTCTCCAAAACTGCTTCTGCTTCTCCACAAAAGCACTTTTTTTTTCCCTTCCAAAAGCTTGGTCAAACACCTCAATTTTTGGCAAAGTCAATTGGGACCCACCCAACTTAAGTAAATGGCCAATTGGCAATGGCAGAAACCAAACACGAAAGTGACGAAAAAGCTTCCCCTCTTGCAGTCCGCTCTTCTTTCTATTTTAATCAACAAAAAAGCAAACGATTCTTTTCCCCAATCCCTAACCATCCCTTCATTTTCTTTTAAATAATAATAATAATAATAATAATAATAATAATCCATTAATGATAATTAAAAACCAGATAAACATAAAATATTATTTCCTCGAGGAAAGAATTGAATTCCCTCGCTTGCTTGTAATTTAATTAATGGAGTAATTAATTAGTCACTTACTATATGGGTTAGGCTAACAAATTCCAAATGAATAAAACGGAACGGCTATATTAAAAGGGTAATTTGAAATACAAAATTCCTTGCTTTACGCACTCTCTCTCTTTCTTCTCATTCCATATATGTATGTGACTTGCTTTGTTTCTTTTCTATATATAAAAGTCTTATTAGAGGAATTGTTGGATTGAAGGAAGGGAGAATGGCGAATATAGGGATAATGGATAGTGCGTATTTTGTAGGGAGGAATGAATTGTTGTCTTGGATCAATGCCAGGTTGCACCTTAATCTCACTCGCATTGAAGAGGTACGTACGGTACCTGCCCTTGCTCATTTTCTTTCTTGTTTTGCATTCTCAAATGTGTTTTGGGTGATTTTCCAGATTTTTTGTTAATCTGTTATAGGTTTTAATATTATTTGGTTTTCCAAATAGATTTTCTGTCGGATTCTGGGTAATGAAACAATAATCACGTTCACCTCTTGCCAAATTGTGCCTTTCCTCAAACTTTCCTTCTGTTTTGAAATTATCCCTCAATTGTGCATGAGAGTTGGGTGATACGGTCCAAATGGAGCGAATTGGATATTTGATATTCATAGAGCGAACTCAACTGGTTAAATTGAGGCATAGTTGTTGTTTTTTTTCTTCTTTGGGATGCATTTTGGGGAAATTAGATTTCAATATGGTCATATGAGAAAAGTGTCCAATCAAAATGAAATGGACAAGGAGATTCCACTGAGAAACTCTGGACATTGTGGAATGTATGACCAAAGATGTCTAGTCAATTGTTGTTCACTAAAATACTTTGGGCATTATAAGAAGATATGGTTCCTTAAAATAGATTAAATTGTTAATTGGTGTTCACATTCTCTTTTCAAATAGCAAATGTCTATATGATTTATTTGTGAAGTGGGGTTGAGCTAGTATTACAGTTGCTTTAAAAGTTCTAGCTTGCATTTTTCTTAATGAGTGGAAAAGATTAGCCGACATTTTAGCAATGTTCGTTTATCCAGTTACTTAACTTGTAAGCATTACAGGGGATACAGTATAGTTACCCCAATTGATAATTACCTTTAAGAATGTTGATGATTCTGTTTCTCCTCTAATGCTTTAATTACATATTTGAATCACAAAATTATTATGCTAGGCTGCATCTGGGGCTGTGCAGTGTCAAATGATGGACATGACCTATCCTGGAGCTGTTCCAATGCATAAGGTGATTACTGCCATGTGATGTTCTAGTGGTCCTATTATGAACATGTTTGATTTGTTATGGCATCTCTGATGGAGCATATTTCGTTACAGGTCAACTTTGATGCAAAGACTGAATATGACATGATCCAGAACTACAAAGTGCTGCAAGATGTTTTCAACAAGCTCAAAATTGACAAGGTAAACAAATCACATTTCAACTTTTATGTGAACTTCTTGAGTGAAACAGTTTTGATCCCTTCATTCCATGTACAAACCTCTCAGAGCAAAGGGGGATTGTTCTTTTGAATTTTATCATTGTCGTAGTGCAGTTTAATCTTTCAACATCATTGTCTCACCTAGTTTTCACCTTTCTGCATTTAGCTATTTGGATCATACTGGTGCTTTTCTTATCTCTGAATTACAAATAAAATAACAACAATAAAGAAACTTCTAAAGTAATCCCACGTTAATAAAGAAACTTTTGAGGACAAGATTCCTTTTACATTGTCTCTTCTATATTACCTGCACAGCTTCCTTTTTAATGAAGTATTCAGCAGTCAAGAGTAAACCTTCTAAAAACAAAATAACCTGCTATTGAGATCTGTCACGACCCGGAATTCCCACCCTCGGGAGCCGTGATGGCGCCTACTCGTAGAAGCTAGGCAAGCCACAAATCCTAAATCCCTAACTCCTTTATTTTTAATCCTTTTTATTGAGCATAACATCAAGCGTTAAATATTAATATAACAACGGAAATATGGAATTAAAGCGGAAAATTTAAATTAAATAAGCTGAACAATAATGCGGAAATCAACATATGCCTCTACCCAAGAACTGGTGTCACATCACTTACGAACTACTAAGAGTACTAAATACAACCGTTTGAAAGAAATATAACACTGTTTGTCTCGAATATATGAGATAACAGAATGGAATATAAGATAGAGGAGACGCCGAGCCTGCGGACGCCTGCAAGGCTACCTCGGTATCTCGGTGTGCTGAAGGCTGGCTCCTGCGCTACTGCTGCTGTCCAATACCTGGATCTGTGCAAAAGAGCACAGAGTGTAGTATCAGCACAACCGACCCCATGTGCTGGTAAGTGTCTGGCCTAACCTCGGCGAAGTAGTGACAAGGCTAGGACCAGACTACCAAATAACCTGTGCAGTTCAAATATATATACATGTACAACAAAAAAGAAATATAGGAAATAACCAGTAAGTGTGGGAAGGGAAAACATGTTGGGGGAGCTAACAGTTCCAAATAGAAAACTTCAATAAAAGGGGGGAAGCAACAAAGCCAGAATGTCAACAATAATCAGAAATCAACAATTTGCACGGCATCACCCTTCGTGCTTTTACTCTCGTTCTCACCAAATCAATCGTATCATAATAATGTGCACGACATCACCCTTCGTGCTTTTACTCTCGTTCTCACCAAATCAATCGTATCATAATAATGTGCACGACATCACCCTTCGTGCTTTTACTCTCGTTCTCACCAAATCAATCGTATCATAATAATGTGCACGACATCACCCTTCGTGCTTTTACTCTCGTTCTCACCAAATCAATCGTATCATAATAATGTGCACGACATCACCCTTCGTACTTTTACTCTCTTTCCTCACCATATAGTCAACGAATATCGGTACAGGATGGTACATCGTACGACACGACATCACCCTTCGTGCTTTTCACTCTTTCCTCACAATAGCAAACAATGCACGGCATCACCCTTCGTACTTTAACACTCTTCCTCACCCAAACAACAATCACAAACAAAGGGGCAAGGGAGTAGACAAATAATGGTAGAAATCCCGGCAAGGGAACAATATCAATAATCTCAGCATTCCGGCAAGAGAGATAATCAACAAAGCAACAAACATCCCGGTAAGGGGACAATTCAATAACTCTTTCTCTTTCTTTCACTTCTTACTTTATAATTCACTTTACCACTTGAGTCAATGCTCCAAAGGGGTTCAATTGTCTCATATACTTTCACAATTCGTATTATAACTCGAGCCAATGCTCCTCGAAGTTCAAAGATCACCATTTCTTTCACATGCTTTTTACANGATTTCTCAAAACTCTTTTAAATATCACATTTCTCAATTAAGGTCCGGATCGCGTCAAACGACGTCCGTTTTTAACCAAATTTCACAGGAATGACTCAAGTCATATACAAGACCTGTATCGGGCACCGGAACCAAAATACGGGCCCGATACCAACTTGTTCTAATCAAATTTCATTTCAATTTCTTTAGACATTTTCAAAAAAAAACAATTTCCTTAAAAAAATTCACTTCTCGGGCTAGGGACCTCGGATTCCAGGCATACGCCCGAGTCCCATATTTTCCTACGGACCCCGGGACTGTCAAATCACGGGTCCGGGTCCGTTTACCCAAAATGTTGACCTAAGTCAAATTTATTCATTTTAACATCAAAACATAGCATTTTTCACAAAATTTCATATTTAAGCTTTCTGGCTACGTGCCCGGACTGCGCACGCAAATCGAATCGACTATAAATGAAGTTTTCAAGGCCTCGGAAGCACATAATGGGTAAGAAAACAGGTGATGACCCTTTGGGTCGTCACAAGATCTGAGTGGAACTAGATGGTTTTCTTTTTGGCCATATTTCTAGTTGGTTTCCAATTTGCTTGCAGCATATTGAAGTTAACAGGCTTGTTAAGGGCCGTCCTTTGGATAACTTGGAGTTTCTGCAATGGCTGAAACGTTACTGTGAGTCTGTAAATGGTGGCATTATGAATGAGTATGTGATTCTTCTTAAATAATCAAGTGTTTTGTTGCTCTAGAACTTAGATGCCAATATCCCCTTTAATTATCTCTCCTTTTTTGTACGTTTGCAGGAATTATAATGCTCTGGATCGCAGAAGCAAGGTTGGGAAGGAACGAAATGTGAAGGGCTCTCAGAGATATGCAAAGTCACTGCAAACAAACAACTGTCATAACCCTGGATTAGGGGAAGGCATTACTAGGATTACAGGTTAGCGACAATGATATTTTCCTTATTGTATTTTCTGTAGCGATGTTTTTCTTAAACTATGTGTTTTTTTAGGAATAAAACAAGGAAGATCAAGTCCAGTAATGGGTGTGGTTAATTCTTCAGCAGAGATTCAAGCTTTGTCAAAGGAGGTAACAGTCTTATACTTATGTGAAGTTGGATGGTGTAAAACTTATTGCTTATGGTTTGGCAGATTGATTGAGTGAATGAATAATTGCCTGTTCCAACGTTCAAGCATTATTAAGCTTGATTGAAGCCAGCGTAAATTCATTCACAGTACTTGCTTCTGCATGGTCAAAGGTACTCCTATTCTAAAAGGATCTTGCAGAACTTTTGTGAACTACATCCGAAGCTAAGGATATGGTTTGGTTGAGTATAAGGAGATCGTGTCTCCTGCTGTTGGTTTTACTTTTTGTTTCTTTCTTTCTTTTTGACATTAGGTTCATTGTTTGTCAAGAGTCTTTTATGTTTGGTTGGAGATTATATGACGGTGTAAGAATAGGTCAAGATTAAAAGAATTCCCATTAAGAGAATCCCTAATTTATCCTAAAAGATAATTATTGAGTAGTGGAAGAAACAGCCCTAAATGGAGTCGAGTGGATATTGCGGATTCACAACTGATCCCAAAGACCAGGATTGTGGTATAGTTGTTACTACTGTTGTTTTTCTCTTTCGGTAATAAGTATCCACTCCTGTGATATTATCATATAACTCTCAATTTCTACTTTTCGTGCTGTTAACTCACTGTTTTGGTTGCCTGGTAGTACTTCGACTGCTTGTTACTCATATTTTAACCATCCAGGTTACTGATCTCAAGCTCTCTGTTGACCACTTGGAAAAAGAAAGAGATTTTTATTTTGCAAAGTTACGAGATATTGAGATACTCTGTCAGACTCCAGAATTAGATAATGTCCCGGTAAGCTCTTCTCTCCCACATCTCTACCAAAAGAGAATGCTTATGATGTATCTGCCTAGCTACCTTTCTTTTTGATCCATCTATACTTGTGCATGTCTAACTGATTTGCCACAAACAAACATGGCTGGGAAGGATCAGCATATATGTAATTATAATTCTGTGCTTATTGGGCTAAAAGAACATTGTGCCTCCCTTCTAGTAACATAACCACTGATAGTTCTGAACCCCTAAATAACTTTATAAATACTATTGTTCAGTTGCTTGTGTTGGATTTTGCTTTGTTAAAGTTTTGTAGTTGTCACGTGTATAACATGGTCAGGAGAGTATTTATCGGGAGTAGTTCATTTTACTTTTCTTTCTTCAGGATTCTGCTGGCTATCGAAAGAGTTGTAGAGAAATTATTTGATCCTATGTCTTCTCCTTTTGCCCATTATTTAGACATTTTCACTACTTTGGCATCATGTATGATACTTTACAGATTTCTAAGTAAGTGGTTGTGGATTGATTGGCAATTATGTTTAGCATAATGCTGACCATACTGCTCCTTCTGTATCTCCGTTAAAAGCAAAGTGTCTGTCATTAACATGAATTACGAGTCATCTAATCAGTGTCGTCGGGCTTATACATTTCACAGATGGCTGTGGCAGTGAAAAAGATATTATATGCTGCTGATGCAAGAGAATCAGCATTGGCAGAAGCTCAAGAATTTCCAAGTGAATCTGTGGATGGTAGTGAGGGCTGAAGTGGAAGATAAGTAAGAATTGCTTGCAGTAGTTTCTTAAATGTAGTGGGTTGCCATCGTTTGGTGAAAAGTTGCCAGACTTCTGCTTTATACATCCAATGTTTTTTTTTGGTGCCATATGAACAATCTGTCTCTAGTGTTTAGTTGATGGAGATATCTCAAGTGAAGAGAAATTTGTATTTGGATGGTCTAGTGACCATAATTAGTCATCTTTAATTGAAAGAGTACCATGCAAAGTACATATCTTCCACAAAATAAATAATTAAATAAACAGTCAGTGAACTGGAAAGGGGAGTGGAAGAATAGGAAAAAAAAAAAGGAAGGTACAAGATTTTTTCCCTTGTTTGATTTAATTTAAAAAGGAACAGAAAAACAAGTTGGCGAACGGGGCAAATCGAAGTTTTCTTCTATTTTCTCTTCTATCTTCCCTCTTGTTTTTTCCCCTTCCAGTTTTCTCTTCCCTTTCTTTCGTTAGTTTTCAAATTTCAAGAACGGGGGGTTTTCTTAACTTTTCCCTTTTTGGGAGAAGTCTATGGAGATGAAGGGAAATAAAAGCTCGATCGAACTTTAAAGGGGAAGTCTAGCAGTTGAAAAAAATTGATGAAAATTGAATCTTTGTTTTTCTGGACAAGCTAAGAGCTTTAATACTGAATTGCAATGACCTTTACGGTGACATATTTTTTTTTTTCTTTCATTTTTTTTTTATATTGTGTAAGTTATTAGAGATATTATAACGATCTAAAAATAAAGATAATCTTACCATTTTTGCATCTTTATAGACCTCTCTAAAGAAATACATAAATACACTAGACAAAGATTACCTCAGTGCCCTTTCCTAGAACTAGAATATACATCCATAACAATAGATAGTGGTAAATTCATACATTGTCACTTATACATCTAGAGAAAGCATTTATCCATATTGAGGCAGCAGTTAAATTACTTGTGTTGCAGTAGAGATAGATTACACCAATCTTCTGACCGTTAGCCAAAACTATAAGTTGTGCTAGTTGAACTGTGATGTTCCTCAGCAAGAAAAGAACTTCCCAATGTAAAGAACTTGGAAATGGACATAAAGCAGAAAACAAGATGCACTCATTGTCATTACGCTGATGCTTGTTATCATGTGATTCCACATGAAATTCTGACAGTCCCATAGGATAAAAAATATTCCAAAGATAAAAGTGGACATATTAGCACAATGACAACATTAATTGAAGAAGACTTCACCTTACATTATGCTCCAATAAAAAAGCTAGGCTTCGTGTGTCCATGTCGGGTAATACATCGTGAGCCCGCACAAATACAAGTTGCAGCATTCTTCATGAGCCCGCACAAATACAGCGTCGTCCATGGCTATGCCAGTTAGGGAACAAGTTTGAAAGGTGAAGGTAATGATTTAAAAGAAGCAAATGAGTGTATGCCTATGGAAAGCGAGTATAACTACTGATGAGGTTAAAAAGATTTGACAGAGAATGCAGTCAATAAAACAATGAATATCTGGAAGAGTATGGTAAACTTTGCATCTAACAAAATAGAAAAAGACGAATGTGAATCCAATTCACTTCTTCTGCATATAACAAAATTAAGAATGCAGTATACATGTAGTCCTAGTAGATTCATGTACACCTAAGTACTTGAAAGAATGAATGCAGGTTGCTCTCAGAATCCAAAACTGTTGGCCCAGATGTTTTGTATCCTTGGATTGTCAAGTGAGTGGATTATAAGGTCGTTTTTCCTTTTGGCATAACGATATAAGTGATATTTGCATCCCTAATTGGTATATCGAGTAGCCATCTAATTGTATCAGTGAGAACGCCAACGGATTAACTTGGCTAAAAACTTTTCATACATAAAAAACAGTTCGAACTTCTCTTATATCATTCTTCAATTTCTGTAAACCATTCGAAGCCACCACATACCAGTACCACCTTCACTTTTTTTCACAACAATGCACTTTCTGATTAGCGACATGTGAAAAGTAATGCCACCATTTTAACTTGGGAATTAGACTTAGAGATGCTCGGAAACAACCTCTCTGCCTTTATAGGTAGGGGTAAGGCTGCATATACACTACCCTACCTAGATCGCTGTTGTTGTTGTAGTTAGACTCAAAGATGCTGATGGTTAAATAAAGTACACGGGTAAACAATTCTAGAACTGTGAATTCTACTGGAATAAGTTGCTTTCATACATTTGATCAAATACTCGTAGTGTTGATTTTTTTTATATATAATAAAATGCTCTTACCTTTTTACAAAATTGGGAGAAGGAGAGCGGCATGAAGACGCGAGAAGTGGAAAAAAAGGGTTACTTCAACAGCTGAATGAGTTCAAACGATGAAGTTCATATCACAAACTGTTGATCATTATCGCGATTTTCATTTTCCTTTCACCTATTCATACAAACAGCAGCCTTCCGTTCATCCTAATGTGTACTAAGGATATGAGTTCCACTCTATATGCAAAATTGAATGTACACTTTCTGATAGAGGGATAGCTTCTTTAGGATCACATTTAGTTGTACGGGTAATAAGACTCCTTCCCCTGAATCAGTGGCGTGCATCTCATGTTTTCAGATTTTCACGGCTGATACGCTTTCCGAGACAGTGATGACATTTACAGCTGCACATACACAGAGATGCATATAACATCCATACCCCAAGAAAACTCCATCCAGATTATAACCAACCACTTTTTTTTAAAGCATAATTGACCACTCACTGATACAAAAGTTAAATCAGTAGAGAATCAATCTCGAAACCTACCATAAATCTTCAGTTGTCTGCAGATAACTGCAAAAAGAATAGGAGTGTGATGAAATCCTAGCTAGTTGGTTTACTCCTTCCATAAACAAGGTTCAAGGCACTGTAGGTGTCATCAGTGAGATCAGATGTTCTGCAGAAGCATCGTTAGGTGCTTTTGCAGTGGTGCCCTTTACCTAGCAGAGGATCCAGGAAAAAAAAAGACAACGATAAGAATGCTTCAATGAATAGTAATGACCAAAAATAACGATAGAGACCTATAAGGGGGATGAAAGCTGTCCCAAGTGTTAACCAAGTCCTCTGTGGAATGAATAAAAGCTGGAGCTATCCACAATTTGCTCATGAATTTTGGAGAGAATAATTCCAGATGCAGGGCTTAAGAGGGTGTTTTCCGAAATCAACAAGCACTCAGGCATGTAATGCATCAGTAAAGGATCATGCATGTATGCCTTAGTTTCCACTTACATATCTCCATCATCTGCAATTGTAACCACAACCTATATTGTCGAAGTTTCTTGAGATAAAAATCATTATGGTGCTAAGCTGCAACAACTAGATTTCCACTCTAAGAACATACCATTAGAAAATAGGAAAAATATAGCTTCGCCAGAGTAACTGAACTGGAATATAATATTGTAGCTTTGTTTATCAGTTCTAATAGCTGCGATTATTGTTTCGTTTGGGCACTTATTCGCTTTTGCATTTCATTACTATCAATTCCACATACCTCTTACGTAGATCTTTTTGTTTCTCCTTTCTTCTTTCTCTCTGCTAAAGTTAAATGCTAAAACTATTTATCAGGTACTTAATTGGAGTTGTTTTCTCACAAGGCTTTTGTGTTCAGACTTTGGACAAATAAAAGATGCTGCTGGATGTATTGATAAACAACTAAAAACTGAATGCTGATTTCTTTGTAAACAGAGAATTTCAACAGGAAATTTCGGGTTTTCAGATCTGATTGATAATTAGTACACTTTAATGGATAATATAAACATTTTCAATTGACTGCAGAACATGACTAAGGATGTAATGAAATATATAGGACAACAAATATGTACCTGCATCATTAGAGTTTTGATGACTTCCTTTGCAGCATTGTTTTTCTCCATTTCAGTTCTAGCTTGTTCAGTTTTCTCTTGAAGTTGCCTTGATTTTTTCTCAAGCTCAGCCTCTAAGAAAAGAGATCTCTGGGTGAGAATCTCTACCTGCATGGGTTACGTCTCAGGTTCAATAGAGCACGTACAGATCAACTTATACTACATATTTCTTTGTTTGAAAGGAGAAGTAACACTGAATACAATGTAATTAATTTAAGCTGGCTTCTGTTTCTAATCAGTTGGTCATTGGAAAAGTTGATGCAGGATAAATGTTCTAAAAATATCTAGTCTTATGCAGTGGCAGAGCCACCTTATTTCAAGGGGTGTCAACTGACACCCCTTCATCCCGAAACTTACACTATGTAGCTCAGTAATTTTTTTATATGCATATATTATTATATGTTGACTCCCCTTGACTTCTTCGTGTGTCTACTTCTTACATTTTGACACCCCTTAGTAAAAATTCTGGCTCCGCCGCTGGTCTTATAGTTATACTAACAATACAATATGTCTGATGAAGGAGAATGACAAAGTAACATCTTCATGAAATGAAACCAAGTAGAATTCTGAAATTGAATTGTCCAGCAGCATAGTATTCAGAAGCCGCTACCATATCCACAAAGAGATATTATCTATAGGGAAACTATATCCACGACAAGTTAGTTTTCTAGGGAAAGTTGATATATAAGTTGAAACAGTACCTCAGAAAAGGAAATCTATAGTAAATTACAATCAAAACTTTTGAATGAACACACAATTAGACAACAAGTAACAGCAACCTTGTGAAACCGAACCAGGATATCCTAGTTGGAAATAACTTACTGTCAACCACATGTAGCCTGACCCCTTTATATACTTCTTTTGTCCTTTTTTCCTTCATTGACTAGTGAGTGATGCTTCCACTAATTTCCATAACAAGTGTCAAAGCCATACCATATGCTCTCTAATGATAGTAATTCTCACATATAGAAGAAACGAAAATAAGTGATAAGTAATTCTGATATTCTAATATTAGACGTCTGGTTTTCTACTTCAATGATTCTTTTAGGCATGACAGAATGCAGCAATAAAGAGGCTTGATAAAAAGAATCTTGACCATTTTTACCTGCTCCTTCAATATTGAAATTTCTTTTTTCAGACTTTCACTTGTTTGTTCTGAATCATCAAGGTCCACTTCGTGATATGCTTGTGCGGCAATAGCGGATCTCAGTGACACAGAATAAGATGAACTTGATTCCAAAGAAGCAGGAGAGCCAGCTTGAGAATGACTTGTTGATCCAACAAAAGAAACAGACAATTTTTCGGGGCAATCAGAAAAAGACATCAATGGGCTTGATGTTTGAGATACTTCACACTGAGTATTTCTATTGGAGATTGGAGAGAACTGGCCGGAGTTCAAATCTTGCTTCTGGTTCT